CATTAAAAATGCAACGTCACGAGGATTAAACTGAATCATCGTTTTTCTTGACATATACTCCTATATGTATAAATGTATCTTCGTACCCAAAACGCATGCAAAATTTAATATTGAAATTATTGACAATGTAGCTCACATTTTTTATAACGACTCTATTACACAAACTTTGTTCAAGAGTACCATATCAAACGTAAGCCATCTAAAGTTGATGTATCGACTTGTTGCATGGTCGGACAAATAGAGCTATACAAGTACGTTAGTACGCTATGTGGCGGTAATATATTTGGCTTTCCTTCATTAGCTCACGCAGTAAGATTGTCAACAATTGTTCGTCACCATCTAGAATTGTCCTCAGTTACATCACCTTGTCTTTAGTGCTAAATTCTGACGACGTTTATTGAAGATATAGAGGATATTGCATGAGTGTAGGTTCAATACTTGATTTATTGAACGAGTTGAATAAAATTATATTATGCGAGCCTCTTGCGAGCAAAACATTATTTTATTCAACGAGTTCAATATATTCAGTAATGAACCTACACTAATGTAATATTCTTTTTTTCACACATATCCAAATTTAAGTGAATTTTTTTTCATTGACGCGGCTAAAGTGTAAAGGTAACATTTAGCGCGTCTTTATACAATACCGTTTTTAGGGAGTCGCAAATTCGGCAATGGTATGTGATAAATAACGAAACAATGATATTGCATTTTGACGACAAGAGACTTATATGGACTTTTATCCCATACAGTTCATTGCATACTGTAGGCTTAAATATGGAATAAGGAAAAGTTGCAAATCTGTTAAACGTATATCAAAATATTGAACCCTGAACACATAGCAGCAATTTGTAATTATTGTTTCAGAATGTTTTCCAGCCAAACCATGTTCATTCTGGATATTTCACTGCTTCATGTTCGGTTGAATAAACCATAATCAGAATTGCCATAAACAGATAATTAGAGACAATTTTACATGATACATTTTTTGTCACATGATACATTTTTACGAAAGCCTAATAGTGTCAAATGAAATAAAAAATAAAAATGCAAAGGCGTTATAACGCGAATAAAGGCATTATTACGCAAATCAAAAGGCGTAAGAACGCGAATAAAGGCGTAGCAACGCGAATCAAAAGGCGTAATAACGCGAATAAAGGCGTAGCAACGCGAATAAAGGCGTAGCAACGCGAATCAAAAGGCGTAATAACGCGAATAAAGGCGTTATATCGCGAATCAAAAGGCGTAGTAACGCCTTTATTCGCGTTATAACGCGAATCAATAGGCGTAGTAACGCGAATAAAGGCGTTATAACGCAAATAAAAAGGCGTAATAACGCAAATCAAAAGGCGTAGTAACGCGAATAAAGGCGTAGTAACGCGAACCAAAAGGCGTAATAACTCAAATTAAAACACATTATAATGCCAATTTAATACCATATTTATACTAATCAAATTTGCGAGAAAGGAAGACCAATATTGATCTGAATTTATTGCTCAAGATATAAACTCGTATACAATAATACAATATACATTTACAATAACTTTCATTCCATTTGCACAGTAATTATGCAAACTATTTGTCATAAACTAATAAAGACTCTTTAATATTTGCCAATATAAGATGACTTGGTGACTTATAGGTTATAAAGTGTTACCTCCTTGAAATAACAATCCTCCTATGAAGTTTGAATATTGTGGGCCAAATGGAACTTAAGTAATGCTCCCGAAACCAAATTGCTTACGGACGGACGGACAGACAGACATACAGACGGACGGACGCACGTACGGACGCCAGGGGGTATAACATAATATGCCCGAAATTCTTTCGGGCATATAATAAAACGTACATCTAGATCAATTCATTTAAATCAACATTGTTCTTCCTTCCATACATTAATAGGCCACTGTTTGGAATTTATATGGTATTAAATTAGCGTTATAACGCCTTTTGTTTTGCGTTATTACGCCTTTTGGTTCGCGTTATTACGCCTTTTGATTCGCGTTATAACGCATTTATTCGCGTTAGTACGCCTTTTGATTCGTGTAATTACGCCTATTGTTTCGCGTTATAACGAGAATCCAAAGGCGTAATTACGCGAATCAAAAGGCGTACTAACGCGAATAAAGGCGTTATAACGCGAATCAAAAGGCATAATTACGCGAATAAAGGCGTTATAACGCGAAACAAAAGGCGTAGTAACGCCTTTATTCGCGTTATAACGCGAATCAAAAGGCGTAATAACGCGAATAAAGGCGTTATAACGGGAATAAAAAGGCGTAATAACGCGAAAAAAGGCGTAGCAACGCGAATCAAAAGGCGTAGTAACACCTTTATTCGCGTTATAACGCGAAACAAAAGGCGTAATAACGCCTTTATTCGCGTTATAACGCGAATCAAAAGGCGTAATAACGCGAAACAAAAGGCGTAGTAACGCCTTTATTCGCGTTATAACGCGAAACAAAAGGCGTAATTACGCGAATTAAAGCGTTATAACGCGAATCAAAAGGCGTACTAACGCGAATAAAGGCGTTATAACGCGAATCAAAAGGCGTAGTAACGCCTTTATTCGCGTTTTAACGCGAATCAAAAGGCGTAATTACGCGAATAAAGGCGTTATAACGCGAATCAAAAGGCGTACTAACGCGAATAAAGGCGTTATAACGCGAATCAAAAGGCGTAATAACGTGAATAAAGGCGTTATAACGCGAATCAAAAGGCGTAATAACGCGAACCAAAAGGCATAATAACGCAAAACAAAAGGCGTTATAACGCTAATTTAATACCATATAAATTCCAAACCGTGGCCTAGTAATGTAAGATAGGAAGAACAATTTGATCTAAATAAATCGATCAAGACGTACGTTTTAATTCTGTACGGATACGTCCTAAGGCAACAGTCTGATTTTTTGAATCTTTTATTAGGAAATGCTTTCGTCAGATTAAAGGTTAACTTTCACCCAACTATAGATACTTTTCTACATAGACAAAGAAGGGAATGTCTCCTATTATTGTGACTTTACTGAAACACTATCCCCCATTTAAACATACTTATCAATAATCACCCTAATGTGACTAACTTATACCTTACGTTTTCCCAAATCTTGTTACCTATAGCATATTACCTATAGCTTAATTAGGAATGGCATTCACATAATTAGAAGATACTAGATGTTATAAGGTAATCAAATAGGATATATCCGAAGATAATTGAACATATGACGCACATATAAGATAAGATAAGATAAGATAAGATAAGATAAGATAAGATAAGAAAAGAAAAGAAAAGAAATTCATTTACTATAGTGACATGTGTAAAAGCAATATATGATACATGTGAATTCAGATTAACTGTATTTACGTCCAGTCCAATGGACCTATAAGGCACCCAGACACCTTAAATTGGCAAATATTAAAGAGTCTTCATTAGTTTATGACAAAAAGTTTGCATTATTACTGCGCAAATGGAATGTTAGTTATTGTAAATATATATTATTTTATTCTATACGAGTTTATATCTTGGGAATAAATTCAGATCAATATTGGTCTTGCTTTCTTACGTTACCAGGCCATTTGATTAGTATAAATATGGTATTAAATTGGCATTATAATTCGTTTTAATTGGCGTTAGTACGCCTTTTGGTTCGCGTTACAACGCCTTTATTCGCGTTACTACGCCTTTTGATTTGCGTTATTACGCCTTTCATTTCGCGTTATAACGCCTTTATTCGCGTTATTACGCCTTTTGATTCGCGTTATTACGCCTTTATTCGCGTTGCTACGCCTTTTGATTCGCGTTATTACGCCTTTTGATTCGCGTTATAACGCCTTTATTCGCGTTGCTACGCCTTTATTTGCGTTGCTACGCCTTTTTTTCGCGTTATTACGCCTTTTGATTTGCGTAATTACGCCTTTTGATTCGCGTTATAACGCCTTTATTCGCGTTATTACGCCTTTGTATTTTTATTTTTTATTTCATTTGACACTATTAGGCTTTCGTAAATTTTTTTTCCAGCGGTATAATAATTTTTTGAATTGATAATTTTCTTCTAATGAAGTTATAGATAAAGTAAACATATCTGTATAGTCTCTTGTAATTTGCAGAATCCAAAATTTATTTATTTATTTATTATTTAGAGTTATCATTGCGGTGAAAATTGTTTATTATTTTATCGCAGTTATTGTCTTTGAATCAAGAAATATGCTTTAAAGAACAAGATACACAATGCAATTTTAGGTCATTTAAGGAATCATGAAATAATACGTAGGCCACAAAAAAGTTCGACAAATCTTTGTTTACAACGTTATGAGTGATAAACTCTGAATGATAACGGTTTTATCGCACGAAATAAAAAACCAGACTTTCACTTATTAACATAAACTTTTACAACGGATTGACAGAGTGCATCTAAAATAACAACGCATAATATTGACATAATAATATATCACCACGTGTCTACTGCGTCACAAATGTAGTAGGGACTATTTTGCCTATTTTGAATTTGTTTGGTACCGTAATTTACGTGGATTTTAAGTGCCATATGCAATGTGTAATTTACTTCCTTTGTACACTTCAAACTATTTTACTTTTATATATAATTTCCTTATTGTTGTTAAAATGAGTATGGATCTTGAGGCATTCTGCTTACTTTATGTTTAATGATGTAATTTGAAGGGAATTTCCCTTCAATTTGATATAAAGCAGGACCATGGTACGCGATTTCAACAATTTTAAGCGTCTTACGCACCATTTCACTTCACTTAATTATATACTCTTGTTTGGAGTGTCTGTTATATAAAACACTAGTATCCATATGATGTGATATAGTCCTTGTTATATTTACATTAAAGTGTTTATGCAAATTTATATTCATATCAGCCCCCGACATGTTACAATAAAGAGAAATACTTGAAAAACATCTTGACACTGGAAATAAGATAACAATCAAACGAATACATGTTATTGTTATTGTATTATTTAAAGTAAGTGAGTCCTGAAAGTGTTTTCTGTTGAAAGGACAATATGTCAAGTGTCGTTTGAATAGATGAAATTAGTTTTGTGAACTTATATTTTCCTTGTTATTATCTTTTTTGGTACTTAAACTACGATTTAGCAAGTGTTTTTTCAGGGTTTTAAGGTGAGCAAAACAAGTTCATATGAGCAGTTTTTACTTTATCTTTACGCTGTAAAAATGAGTAATTTCTAGCTATATCTTTAAATTGCGGAAAGTGGTCATCATGCGGTGAAAATGTTTATTATTATAGTTGTTTACATTCAACTGATGCGCTCACTGTTTAAAAACTGCACAATTTTGATTGAAAAAGTGCGCGTCGTATAGCACGTTTCTACGATCACTATGTTGGAAATGCCATGTCACGGCTCATATGCATTCATAAAATTAATGCATACCGGTAATATATTTTCTGTTTAAATGTTATGCATGTTTTTCTGATTCTTATATAAAATACTTAACCTGAAGAATGATTATACATAACAAATATTTCATTTATAGTTCAATAAATGTTTCATATTATCAATAATTATCAAAAAAATTAGAAACAAAATTACTTTTTACTAAATTAACGTTGTCATACAAATCGTTTTTTCTGAAGCTACGTCTTTATGTACATAATAGAATAAGGAGTTGAAATGTCCTGTCAATCAAAGGGTTTTAAATGTATTAGGGGTCTAAGTGGCATGGGTTGAGGAGTCTTAGGGTGGTTAACCATGTTAACCATATCGAACATATCTCATCCTAACAGATTGTCAGACTGCTTTTACTTTGTACACACACTAATGTTCAATGACTGTTTATAATAAATGTATAAAATATTTATATACGTCCTATTGTATTGCAACTTTTAATAATCCTTAGTGGCTTGACGATCTACCCCCAATGGACTAAGTCTGGAAGAGAGATAAAACATTTTGTGGTGTAAAGCCAGAAACAAAACGCTGGTCTGTGGTGTGCGTAAGGATATTTAATATTAAGCATTGATAAGTGAAACTTAATTCTAAAAAAGCGGAAGATTTGATTAGTTTAAACATATTTTATTTCTCAGACTATATATTCATGTTACAATTTACAATGCACACATAGCAATTATATAAATATTCTTAAAAACAGGATTAGAATGAAAAGACAACGTGTCGTATGAAATTCTTCTCCTTTAATTGACATTTGTAGAGAAGGTAAGAGCTTGAATTTTGCCAGACTTTCAGAGTGATGTACTACTATTATACTAAATAGTATATTATTGTAAATGATTCGTCTTGCAAATCGTTCCAAACATTACCAATGACTTATTAAATTTATTTTCATTATTTCAAATAAATGAGATACATTTAATCTTATAGCTATATTTACTACCTGTGAAAAATGTTTACCAAAATATTTAATTAAATAAAAAATCATACATTGATGCATATTTGTTATATTTTATTTGAACAAGAACGTCATTTTATAATAACATTTCCTAATTATTAATTTCAAAAATATGCTTTCAACAAATATTCTCTCAAAGTACGTATATCATGCAAATATGATACATTTGTATTGAGTTATCTCAATTTTCACTCAATATAATCCAATCCAGGTGTAACAACTTAGGTATGTCGAACATGTATACTGATTAATCCTTACAGTATACAATACTATATAAAAAGTAGCCAAAAAGGCCAGGAGATGTAACGTCCAGATACCCTTGGACAGTGTCCCTGTATTTTTTCAGCCCACAATCCACACTCATTCAGTATAGAATACAAACATAGTCTAAACCTTAAGCTGCATGTGATGATATGTGCAGTTACAAAAAAATATACAGACAATTTTAATGGTTGATAAAATATGAAGTATCGAAAAGATTTGGATAAGAAAAGTCATGGAAGAAATTGGTAAGAGATAAACCTTTTTAACTATATTCTTTGAGATGAGATATTTTTTCGCATCAACTTTATATTTGTCTAACGATAAAGATATCTAACGGACATTTATATATAACACACAGGAAAATATGTTCTTATTTTATTTAATATAATATAAACAAGGGATACAAGTCGTGGCCTCGCATTACCAGCACGGTTCGTAAAAATGCATTCCACGTGTAAACTGTATAAAATATCCTCTATTCCATCAAAGTTATAATAGAATTTAATATTCCTAAGTTCTACTACAAAATGTTCATAAAAACCAATAACATTGCAGGAAATAACTAAAATTTCAATAGTTACATTGGTTGTCAAATTGTCGTCCATTATGCATTTGTGTTTATGTTCCGAATATTTTCATTGGCTGATGAAAAAATGCTATTCGACGCGGCTACACGCCGTTATTATCCGGATTATTATTATTATTATTATTTATTAGTAAATGAAATTAACAGTCACTAATAGAAGTTGGGTTTACGCATGGAACATACGGACACTATTTAGAATGGAAGAAGAGGATAGAAATTATCAAAACAAAAACACAAATTGTTTAAACTTGTACCAGAAGTGAAAGATTGCATCATTGATGGTGGTGGATGATTGATATTTAACCGATTACATGATAAAACTTTTATATGAGCATACGTTTGCATTAGATATCGTTTTACACTTGTAATTTAAAAAAAAACCCGAAATTTTACGAACGTGTGCAAGACTGAAAGATGAAAGGTTATTTTTTATGATATCTAGTCCATGTATCAAAGTGGGTCATTTTTTTTAATTATCGGTTCTTTCATGAATGTCCAACAATCAAAAGAAAAAAAAACTGTCATCTACTGCTTTCTATTTACTTTTTCATAAATTGAGTAATTTTGAGTTGTATCCTTTGTTATTTATATATATAATGGGAAAAGAAAAAAATGACAGAAGCCCCTGCGATCTAATATGATAAATTTGAACTCGCTAAAACATGTGACAATGTACCTTGTCTCTCTTTTTTCTTCGACTGTTTGGCTTGGTGTACTTTAACTAAGTTTGATAACATTTTGTTCAAATTCTTTTTGCAAAATATTCAATGTATTTAAAGTGTGTTTTCCCCGGAAGTAAAAAACTTAGTTGACGCCCTCTGCGATATTGTCAAAGAGAAACAACTCTTGCTAAACACATATTTTACAGGAGCGTGTAGTGTCATTGAACGCAATGCAATTGCGATTGTATCCTCAATTTAAATCTATGAAAGAAGAATTATTGCATATTTTTTGTACATATATGCTTGAAATATATTTTATGTGTAGCTAAGAATTGATTTTATTTTTGCTTGTGAACAGATGCGACACTAAATTGTCACCAAACAGATAATGGCGGAGTGTCCCAAGAAAAATTTATTACACACCTGTGGAATCTTATGTATACATTTAGTGACAGTTTTAGGATTTAATTTAGACACTGTTATTCCAGTGGTTAAAGAAGGACCGGATAATAGTTATTTTGGATTTTCTGTCGCACAACATCAGGAATTGAAGAGAATACCAGGAACGCAAAATTTCGATAAAAGTACTGTTATTGGAAATTAGTAAGTATTTATCAATTAAAAATTGTGATAAAATATCTTTTTAAAACCTATACATAAAATGATCACTGGGAAAAATGTGCCCTCATCTAAGCCCTGTTGATGGATGAGGGGCATTATTGGAGTAAAAGCCGGAGGCTGAGCATGTATACTTAGCATGATAGTTGCGACAATAGTTACGTGAGACGCACTCAAATGAAACAGGAAACCCCAATTATGTGGCCGTTCCTTTCCCCGGAAGTGTAAACAAGCTGATTGTCATAGTTTAAAGTATAACTTTGTTGACGAATATACATAAAGGGTAGGGTACAAGAAAATATATATAACGCAAAAAGGGAGGGAGTATACATGCTCAGCCTCCGGCTTTTACTCCAATTATGCCCCTCATCCATTACCATGAGGGCACAATATTTTCGCAAAAGCCTTCGGCTTTACATGTGTACTTAGCATCTTTAAATGTTTTGTCAACAAAGCCTTAACTCTCGGCAATGGGAAACATGAATATAACTATATACTCATCTCATCAAAGGATAAAACTGTTCAAACAATATTCCCTCACAAAAGCAAATTTATTAAGACATATTCAATATACTAATACCTCTACATTCACTTTAATATCTATCAAAGAAAAGCAGAATTTTCAAAAACAAAAAGTATCAAGACTAAACTGGCTGTGCAAAAGACATGTCCCTATTTTCAAGTACCGATCTACAATAGAGTTTATTAAAATAACTATCTGACTTCAAGTCTACAGTATCCAAATTAGAGTTAAGAGAACACTTTCTATATGCTGCTGATACAGAGGTTGATTTGAAGGAGTGTGCCTTAAAAACTCCAGTATCCAAGCACATATTTCAACCATCTAGGTACAATGCTAGTTGTTACCTTCTCTAAAGTAACATTAGATATTAACAGCTGTCTCGAGTATCTAAGTACCTTAGTTACCTTAATATAATACAATAATGTATGCATAACACATAATGATTCTTCCTTGAAATGTTCGAAACTTAAAGAAAAAATAAGAACATTATATCTACCTGATCTAGGTGTTTTAACAAACCTGGAAAGAAAAAGATAACTTCAGAATCTGTATAACAACAATTATCAAAATTCAAGGAAACCATAGTCTGGGCTCTAGGAATTAAGGCTACAACCTTAAAAGTTAACAATTTCAAAGATAAAGTTTCTTAAGGGAAAAGTGACTTTAAAAATTTCAAAACCACTGATACATCCCATGTAAACTTATGCTTAGATGCAAGGGGATTTCAATGGAAACAGGAATTATCAAATAAGGATAGAGTCTGTAAAAGCTTAGTTTTACGGGTATTCAAAACAGAATAAGATTTTTTTATCACGATATAATGAAAACAAATAGTTCACTACTGTGCAAAAGGGATTTTTATATTGTTTAATACACCAAATATACCATCCCTACCATGCCAAACCATATTCTTTTCTTGTTCCTGGTCTCTATGCCTGTAAGATGACCTCAACAGCTTCTGGCGAAATTTTTCTATTGATAAATGATTTCCTGAGATAATAACACAAATCAAATTAAATGACTTTCCTAGAGGATGGGGAGATCCGCTGTAAGCCAATGTCAGTACATCTTTGTATTGTGGCAACATGACAGGAAAAGTAATCACACTGTGAACACTAAAGGAAACCAGGGTTGGGATTTCCAAAAAAGGTCAAATTAAAAGAGCTTTCTCAACCTTATCTTCATTAACTTTGTTTATAAATTTACCAATGGGATAAAGGGTGGAAAAATATATTGCAAGAACATCGCCTTGATCTTGCAAGGTCATCATAGAAAAAAGCCCCTGGCTCTTGAAACCAATGTACAAAATTACTTAATAACTTATTTATTCTAGAGGCAATCAAATCAATATCAGGCAAAAAGAAATGCTTACACAGCCTATTAAAAATTACAGATTTAAGCTTCCATTTAGTGCTATCAAAAATATTTCTTGAAAAACAATCTGCTGTAGTATTTTCTTTCCCAGCTACAAAAGAATCAGAAATGAAAATATTTCTATCAAGACACCATTGTCATATAGTTCTTGATAAACCATCTTAACATAATGAGGCCATACCACCTATAACATTTATACATGTATTCTTCACTGCTGTTACACTGTCACTTTGATAATCTATGTGGACATTACTGCAACTATAACATAAAGATTGAAGATCAAAATTAATTGCTGACAATTCTAAAAAAAATTTTTTTCTTATTGATTATGCATTAATTTCCCATTCATTATCATATTATGTATTTACATCCAAAAAAACGCTTTTTAAACATATATCCTTTTACCAAACCATTGCATGTTTATTTATATATGGTTCCCATTTCAAAATCATATACAAAATTATGTAATCTGCATACTGTCATACAGACTTATCAATAGTAGGCATATCTCTGTGCATAAAGTGTAAGTACAATGTTATCATGTCCTTTTAAAGTACAACTTGTTTTTAATTATATTGAAATGTTTTGTTAAGTTATAAATGATTATTATGAATACAAATGTTTATAAAAATCTCCCTTTTTATAGATTTTATCGGCCTCATTTTATGATATTTGTTGTTTTCTTTTTACCTATTATATTCACTGGAGTGTTGAAATACATTTGCATTAGCTACACCTAGTTTGAAACTTATCAAGCTGTGCTTATGAATTGATGGAGAATGCAGTTAAAATAAGTGAAAGAGCATGTGGACAGAGAGGAAGAATTAAGCCATCGAAAAAAAAATCTCCTGAATGTCATATAAATCTTTAACTGTTATACCATATGTTACCCAAGTAGAATAGACCCTTTCCGTTGATACTGTAAAGCCCTGACGTTTGGGGGAAAGATTTATATACATGGCAAGTAGCTCAAGAAATTTTGCACTTAATGTTGTTCATTCAAATGGTAAAAGTGACATGGTTTGTAACGCACATTTTGTTTATAACCTTAACGTTATGTTATGAAAAAGATAATTTTATATGAAATATAGCCAGCCAATCCTGATATTTATGTAATATTAATCAATGTTTTTATTTGAATCTTGGGAAAATTTCAACAACAATAAAATGTCACTAGCAGGAATTTCAGTTCCATTGGGATTTTTATTTTGAAATTGGGAAAAAGTATATTTGCCATAGAGAACGGTCTGGTAATCTGACCCGTGTTGACACTGGGAATAGGCATGCAGTCTGACCATTTTTAATACTCCGTAAATGGATGAAAACTGTTAGTGCTTTTATGCTGAATATTTACTCATAATTAATGCATGACCGTTCAAATTTCATAAATCATAACATGATGTGATTAAATAGATTTTAGAAGGATGATATGTCAGTCACCGTGTGCAGTTTTGTGATAAGTACTTATACGTAATTTATATAAGTTCTTATTGACAGGGAAGTCTTGTTATCTTTCCTTAAACACTCATCATTTTGATTGTTTTATAAAGATTATTTAAAGGGAAAGGGAAGGTCACTCTACGCGTGAATCATAATAACTTGTTTACTAAGAATATTATAATTATAAAAAAATTTTACCTTGTATTATGCACGTATTTTCCTGTAAATACACAAATATGATTGTACATGAAAACTAAATTATTTCTTTAACTGTCTTGTCAATGCACCAATTTAATGCCCAACAAATTTTCTTTATTAAGTTATAAAATGTACAGTTGGAAACAAATATTTAAGTGAAAAAATATTTAAGTAAAGAAACATTTAAGTAAAGAAAAAATAATTAAGTAAAGTACCTTAAGGTGCTCACCAATGTGACAGTGAAGATTGATTCCTCCAAAAATACATTGTTTGGAGGAATCAATCCCCACTGTGAATACCGCATGCACCTGATATTATTCATAATAGAGATTATATTTTCAGAGGAATCAATCCATTCTTTGAATAACCAATGTAACAGTGAGGATTGATTCCTCTAAAAAATGTAAAACTAAAATGTCATCATATAGCCATTATTGAAAGTTACATTTTAGGATGGTATTAATTGCTTAATTTCATGTGGCAGACCATGCAGTCTATGATCATCATAATTCTTAATATAATTACATTTGTACATATATTTATATAAATAACAAATAACATAATAAATTACAAATTTTTAAGTGTTAATTAGGGGGATTGGAAGCCAAAGACTCATTCATATGTGGCCAGACACCATAGTTTTATAAACCATAGTTTTATAATGATCCCAGTCATTCATTGGTGTGCCAGCAAAATATTGACTAAACAAATGAAACAAAATTGTAGAGAGAAAAACCATTTAAGCACCCGAAAGTTATATTAGAATAAAGTAAAGCATGTTGTTTTACTACATTTATATGTGCGCTATTACTTGAAATGATGAGGGCTCTTGAGAAACAGTTTACTTAAAAAATGTGAAGGATTATAATGTAAAATTTATCTGGAACTTCTTACACATTGCTGATAAACCTGTGATAGGCTTTTCCACTTACATTGTTTTGTAATTTGTTTGTGTGCCATTTTGCTGCAAATGAAATGGAATGTTTATACAAATACTCCCGTGTTAATGTGAATAAGGTAGAATAAATGATTTGAGACTAAAATAATACATGCACAAATGTCAATGTTTTTCATTTATGAGGAGTCAGGGTTTGTTCATGCAACCTGGTGACTACGTGTACTTTAATTTCTGCAGTTTCGATATTAACTCATTATGACCTTTATGCCACTGAAAAATGCCGCTATTCTGTAACAGTGTCATAACTTTTGAATATATACATTCATTTATTTATTATTAAGAAATATGAGGTCTTAAGAATGTGTGAGGCCTTGAGAATGCATTAATTATTTTTTCTATGGTAAAATATATATAAAATTTGTTCTCGTAAGCAAAATTAGAAATGAATGATCAAGCTCATGAATCACCTTTTGCTTCGATTTTTTTTCCGATTTCAATTCTTTTGTCAGATTTACTTTTCTTTGCCCGATTTTGTCAGATTTCATTTTTTGGTCCGAAATTTGTCAGATTCTGATGTTCTGCCTCGATTTTGTCAGATTATTATTATTTGCCTTGATTTTGTCAGATTTCAATTCTGTGCCTTGATTTTATCAAATTTCATTTGTATGATTTTGGCAATAATTGATATGTTGTCAAAGCAACTGGCTGAATTTTAATTAAATTTATGATGTCGAAAGCAAATAAATTGCCAAAATTTTCATTTAGTATCCTAAAACCTTGTCTTTATAAAATATGTATAATAATTCAGCTTAAGTCTGAAAAAAGCATTGATATCTTTCTCAAGTCAGTTCATTTTAAATTACCATAAATTAAAGAATAAGAAGACATACAAATTACAAATCAAATACATGTATATTTATATTTGTTATTAATCATATTAACCTATTTGTTTAGGGAAAATGATATTCTTAATCGTATGGCCTTAATTCTTAGTGGTATTTAAACAGTACTGTGCTTTCATTATCGTTTCTTTATTTAAATAACCACTTGTAATCTGGTCTTATGATGTTCATGTATTTGTATATAAGCATATCTGTTGGTAGATTTATCAATGAAGCACTACTATCAGCATTGTATTATAGTTGTAATTGATGATGTTTAACTTTGAAAGTCATTATCAGTCAAATTTAAATATTGTTTGTTTGTTTTTCACACTTATGTTTTTCGTAATATCTTTGGTTGTTGATCGTCCTAAGTGGCTTTACTGGATAACTTACCAGTAGTTATCACTTTCACTACTAATCTGGCATTATTTCTGAATCAGTGGTGATGGACGAATTAGGTCAATTGTCACAGAGAAATTATACGCCTCACCTGAGGATTGAACCAGCAGCCACTGTATTACTTAAACCTATTGAACTATAATGTAAACAGGTTGAAGATGGAAGCAATTTCTGTTTCTCCTAACAGAATTTTTGGTATATGAAATGCCATCTTATCTTTTATTCATCTGGCAAAAAACAAAGATCGAAGAAAGCAGCTGTTTTATTCCAATGCTTCATTTTTTTCCCCTTCAATTTTCTATTTTCAGCATTGTAGTTGGTGCTCCAAATTTAGATCTTCAATTTTCCAACGAGAATTATACAGGCGGTGTATATAAATGTAACGCACTTTCACCGAAGAGAAACGACTGTGAACTCCTGCTCAAAAATGAATACAGTAAGTTAACTATGCCTCGTTAAAATATAATTATTTAGTAATTAACTATTTTGTAATTAACTCTTAATCAAAATCGTAAGACCCAACTAAATCTTAATGTCTAAATATCATAATAAACATCATAGTTAAGTTTTTTATGGTAATATGGATAGTTTATACTACAGTTAACACAACTTATAACGATTTCACTTATAACTATATACCGCTCTAAACGATGCCATGGCTGCAGTCCCGACTCGTTTTATACTCCCCGAAAAAAACAAATTTTACAACTTTTTTTGGGTAGAAGTGCTGTATCAAAGAACTATAACTCTTTCTTGCCTAATTTTGGAGTTATTGCCCTTTGTTCATTTTTACACTTTGTGCTAGCTTTTGTCATTAATTTCATTAGGTGGATGCATATAGAATAATTTGTCAGGTCCTTAAATCGTCTCCCATTTTGCTGAAATTCTAATCAGAAACAAAGATATTCATGATGTGACTGTTGATATGCAACCAGAAATTCCTTTAAACCCTTATCTCACTCACCTAATTAAAGTATCTTTAATCACACTGGCCATAGCTTTCGCAGTGGTGGGTCCATTACAGTGGCGGTGGAGTATCCATCGCAGAAGCGGTGGATAAAAATTGGGCGATTGCTGTTTTCGGTAAGTTGATGAATGAATTTGCTTTATGTTTTAACGCTTTTCGGGAAGCACATAGTTAGACTGGAGCCCAAATATGTACATTTCAATTTTATTTTAGTATACACATACCATTCAATTTATTGCCATTGATGCAAACACTTTTGAAAAGTTTGATTAGAGGTCGCCACTTTTGCCGAATTATGGTTAAAGCACGTACAAATGTGTGCAAAACGACCCCTATGATTTTCGCTTTCATCTCCTTCAATTGGAAACTCATTTGGAAGGTATTGTTATAGAGTAGTCAACATTGAACAAACTTTTTTGTTTTATTTCTGAAGTATTTTTGTATGTAAACAGATACAGATTTTGATTTGTTTCTTGTTGAATAATGCACCATTCGAGTTAAATGCGCAGTAATGTAAGAACATATATAGTGCCCTTTATCTTTATATTTCATGCATTTAAAACCCGGACTGATGAAGAACCAATGCCCGGCGGAAACTAGGAGCAGAGACATCAGACCTTTATGCACCACCGTAAGGAAATTTACCGATGCGCAGGGAATTGCATAGACCAAAGTGCTTTATTGATTAGCATTTGTTTTTGGTCGTTTTTTGTCTGCATATGTTCGAGTGTCGAGCATAAAAATAAAGTAGGCATTCATAAATAATGCCTATGATGCAGCATATATCTGTACCTGTGGTGTAAATTCTAATTCTATGCATAAGAGAAATAACAAGTTTTCGAGCCTAAGTACAAAATACCTAAACAGATAACATAGCGAAGATTAGTTATAAAGATTTTTAACATGTTATATGGTCGTATATAAACATTTATGTTGAACTATTATATATTATAAATATAATCCCTTCATAAATAACCAGCAGTCGGGTATATAAAACACCTCCTCTCGTCAAACTGTACAGAAGTGTTTGAAAAAATGCAATGAATTACATGGTGTACGTGTAATAAGTTGGAATAGTACATATGTGGGCTCTCCAGATTCACTATGCGTTTCCCGTAAAACATTTAAACATAAAGAAAAAGTATGTTATAAACTTTTTATCCATCGCTTCTTTTTTTATCCACCGCTTTTGCGACGAATACCACCGCCGCTGTGATTAATCCACCGCTTCTACGAAAACTATGGCCAGTGTGTTAAGGAACTTGTTCAACTTCCAATCTAGACAAAACCATTCATCATTTTTAAGATGGGAAAAATTTATTTTACTAACTGAATTTAATGCAGACCATGATTAAATTGGGCACATATATGCAAGCTCTGGTTGCATTTGTTTTATCATTGGTCTCCCATTAAAACTTGCAACATCCAGTCAAGAATAGGTTTGTTTCAAGAATGATTGTACCTTTATGATGTTCTGTTTTTGTAAAATGTAATAAAGATAACGTGTACTATTGGTTCTCACAGCAAGTTAATTATACAATGGAAACTTAAAAAAAATGCAGAACAAACCATGGGATTGTATGAGAGTGCAATACTTGTTGACAGTGAGTGATTATTTCCCAATAAACCAGCAAAAATAACTGATAATTTCATTAATGCATATGTACATGAGAACAAAAAGGCATTATGTTTAAACAAGAAAGGCCTTCTATTTTGGATTATATGCAGAAATCTATCTAAACGTTAAAACAAAGTGGAACAGAGACTAAGATGTTTGTCGACATTTTCCATTTTTTAATTTGAATAAAAAGATAAGATGTAAATTAATAGAATGAGAAAATAATGAGGTATTGTCTCTTGGTTGCCATGGATATAATGATATACAAGGAAAATGATTTTTTTTCTTTGTTTTTGTATTGTTTTTGTTGCCATAGTGACAATAAAGTACATGTATAGGGATTAATATGTCATTTTGTTTTTGTATGCAAATTTAAGGTTTTTACTTCAAAATTATGAATAATAAACACATTTTGGTAACATTTTTTTATTTTAACATTTTTCTTATTTATTCATAATAGATTTCAATTTGGTTTGATATGCAAACCAAAATGACTTCAAAATTATTAAAAATAAACACATTTTGATAACTTATTTTTTATTTTAACATTTTGTTTTATTTATTCATAAAATATTTCATTTTGGTTTGATATGCAAATTTAAGTTTTTGACTTTAAAATTTAAATAATACACCATTTTTTTTAAAAATTTTTATTCTAAAACCCCAATTTTAAATTCGGGTATTTTTTGGGTAAAAACATGGGTTAAAATCACCCTTTTTGGGGACATTTTTAAATTTTTAAACCAAAAATAAAATTAAGCTTAAACAAATTTGACGCATTAAGTAGGTTCATTTTTTAATTGAAAACCACCAACCAAAACAATAGATTTTTTAAAAATTGACTAAAGTAAATTTTTAAAACAAGTAAAAAACAATTTAAAAAACCCTTTTTCCATCCGGCAGTTTCACTTTTTGGGGCCATTTATTTCCCATTAAAATTAATTGTGATTTTTGGGTTTCATTGACAAGCAACCCGGGGCCCAATTTTACTCTCATAATTTGTATTATAAATCAACAGAAAAGGAGAAAAACTCACAATTATATTCTTTTGTTAATTACCTCCCTTTGCAGGTCCATCATCTACAGTAGATAACGGAAGGAACAATCAATGGCTTGGTGTGGTTGTAAGAAGTGGTGGCCCTGGAAAAGGAGTTGTGGTAAGTTTTCATAGAATTTTCTTTCCACCGACGGCACACATATAATATATTACTAGCATAGAATAAATCGACATTGTTTAAAATTTCAACAAGTAAGGGGAAAATAAAATTGTGAAATGAGGGTGCCCAGTAGCAAAAAATAAACAGAAAAAAGTATCTGACTTCTCATAATTGTTTATGATTTAGAAACAAGAAAAAAGAGAAGTAAAAACTTATTTTTAATTTTTTTAGGAAAACGTAAAGATCTTACAAGCTCTCAATATTATTATGTCCATAATAATGAGAAAAGTATTGAATTACCATTTTAGTTCTTAAAAAAAATGAAAAGATAAATGCATATTTTATTGAAAGAAATCTCAAGGTTCTGACTAATAAAATCTTGTGTAAAATTGTAGATGCATCACTTTATTATGCATTGGCTTTGTACATGGGCGATTGTCTCTATAAAATTATTGTATTAAAAAGTTGTAACCTTGAAAAGTTCATTTGTCACTGTACTGACCTATGGTCAGTGTTGTATGGTGTTACACCAAATAGAACAGAACAGAACAGAACATATCTTTATTCAGACTTGTACATAGTACATCATCTTCAACACATATATATTTAACAACTAAATATTCTGCACATGATTTAAGCGTTACAAATCAATACAATTTTAATTTTTGTTTTCATATAAACTGATCTACAAATAACAGGAGAGTGAAAGTATATTACAATGTAACTTATCATATATAATAAACATTTTATTGAAACGGACTCCATAAAATACAATCTTCATATACCATATTCATATTGTTTAAAGCTTCGTTTAGGAATATTGCTAAATTACATAGTTTTTTTGTCATTGCTATTAAACAATTCATAATATTTGAATACATATGGTCTTTTATAGATTTTATCATTGAAATACTTGATCATCTAAGATTGCGATAACAATGGCATATACATACAAAAGTGATAATATCTTTCATGTCATGTAAGGAACCGTTTAAACAAAATCGTTCATGGTAGGTATTCTGTTTAACCGAATCTTCCGGTATGAATGCGAAGAAAGTGAGCTAAAATACGTAACCTGGTAATGAAAAAATCTTAAATTAAAGGGTACTATGTCTAAATATTTTTCATATGTAAAGGATCTTTAAAAATGTGTGTATTCATCCAGGATGCCATTTCTGCTAACTGCTCCAAACCATTCTTGTTTAAAACAATCAATCATTCTAGTTTTAAATACAACTTGGAAATGTTTTAAAGATAAACAATCATAACTATTTACAAATATATTAGAAAATCCATAATCGTCTAGAATCTTTTTCACTCGACTTATCCAATTCGTATGACCTTCTAAACTATCTTGCACCGCTAAATTATACAATTTGTTAATAATAATATTTTCAGAATTAACAATTCTACACCAAAATTTAATAATCTTACAATAACGTAAAATATACAGAGGATATCGCTCAAGCTCACCATATACAGCATTATTGCTCGAATTAATAGGTACTTTAAGTATACGTTTACAAAACTTTAAATGTAACCGTTCGATTTCCTTAGACTTGCTAAAACCACATACATCACTGCCATACAATAATATCGAACCTACAAAAGAGTCAAACAATTGACAGAGTACTTTTAATCTTAGCGGTAAATTTTTACAAATATATAATAACACATTTAAAGCTTTTAATGCTTTGCCAGATAAATATTCATTATTAAGGTCAAAATTACCATTGTAGGAAAATAACGTTCCTAAATAATTAAAACTGTCTACAACTTCAATGTCTGCGCCATTATATGTCCATTTTATATCTTTTTTTAATCTTCCTCTTTTTCTAAATACCATATTTGTTTTTTGTTGTTTTTTTTGACACGTTAATTTCAATGCTCCATTTAATACAATAGCTATATAGTAAATAAAGATTGTCGTGCAATTCTTCGGGTGGTTTTCGAACAATAGCCATATTATCAGCAAATAGCAATAAAATATAACTATATCATCTATTAACAAACCGCTGTTTATACTATCCTGTAAAATAATTCTATGTCGTCGAGGAATAATGATACTTAAACTGGTGACATTATCTCCCCCTTGTCTTAATCCAAAAGAGTATTAAAAAACTCAGAAAATGAATTGCAGTGTTTAACACATGACTTTACAACATCATACATATCTTTAATTATTCTAAGAACTTTACCTTGGACTCCGGATTTAAAAAAGCTAAAGCCATAGTGCATTTCTGTATATAGAATCAAAACATTTCTTTAAGTCGATAAAACCTACGTACAACCTTTTATTATGATTAAGATAATGCTCAATTACAGTGTGGAAAATATTGCACTACCTTTTTTAAAACCAAATTGTGCATCTGTTATTCCCTGATTTATTTCACAAAAAGAAACGATTCTATTATTCAATACTGATGTAAATAACTTTGATAAACAGCTTAACAGTGTGACACCTCTATAATTGTTGACGTCATTTTATCACCTTTCTTGTAAATGGGTATAATAATTTCTTCTTTCCATTTTTCTGGAAATACTCCAGAATCTAAAATAACGTTAAAAATATCACATATGTACGGCATCAAAATATCAATAGTTTCTATAAAATATTCATTTAAAAGACAATCATTTCCATATGCTTTATTTGTTTTTGATTTTCTAACAGCTTTCATAATTTCGTCAGAACATATGGGGCGATCAAATTCGACATTAACAGAGCAGCTGTCAAAATCATGAGTACCACTAAACTGTTCAGCTTCTTCATTTTGATATGAAAAAATGTCATTTTCAAGTTTTGAAAAAAATTGAAAATATTCATCTTGCGTAATTAAATTTGCTGACATAAAGTTCTTCTTTTTTAAATATTTCCAAAAAGCTTTTGGTTTACAAAGTCTAAGCTTTTCAATTTCTTCTAATTTTCTAATCTTATACTGAGTTTTCTTTTTTTGTATCAACTTCTTATACTTTTGTTTACAATCGCAATAATGAATTCTACTAATATTTGATTTACAATTGTTAAAAACCCTTAAAGCCTCTAGATAATAGTTTCTAGCGCTAACACATTCTCCATCAAACCACTCCGCTTTACTAACAGAAGGCGAAATCTATAAAACATGTCGTTTTTGATTCTTTATAATTTTTCAAAAAATATTTGTCAGCAGCATCTTTTACAATATTCGTAAACCTTGATACAACATTATTTATACAATTTTGTGTTGGTTCAATACCATGTACTAATTGATTTAATAGTGTCAATTGGACAATAAGACTGGCTCTAAATGAATCCCTATGTACCTGTGACCACTTATATTTAGAAACATATATATCATCATCATAGTCGATAACATTATTACAACTGAGTGAAAATGTAATTGGTGCATGGTCACTCCATTCATTCATAGATTTAACGGTATAACACGTGATATTAGAAAAGTTACATTCTGTACACCACCGACGCACCGTTACGGGACACATATGTAAATAAACCTTGATCATTGCCAATTCTACCGTTAACAATTCTCACGCAGGAGGATTTGCAAACATCGAGAAGTCTTAACCCAAAACTATTACACTTTGTATCAAAAGAGGCCCTGTCACTATAAACATCTGGAATATAATCTTGATCATCAAATAATTCATAAACATTATCATATTTAATTAAATCCGGCTTTAAACCAACTCTACTATTTAAATCGCCCGCACACATATACATCGCCAAACTCACTATAATAACTTATATCAGTCTCCAAAAATTCAAAAAAAATCTATATTTACAACATTATATGCTGGCGAACCTTCAGGCCATAAATAGATTCCAAAAATGTACATATCATTATTCGTTTTAAAAAACGTATGGTCAAGTTTTAACCAAATCATAGAATCATGCCTATTTTTCAAAATTTCAATGCCATCTTTAACCGAGTCCTTATAGTATACCACTACACCACCACTACTTCTCCTTGCCTGTCTTTGTTGAAATTTTCTGTTAAAATTGTGACATGAATAACCAGCCAACTCAATTTTACTATAAGAACACGTCCATGACTCAAATAAAAATATAATGTCATTTTCAGCTATGATACTTATAACCTCACAGCATTCCATTTTAGCCCTCGAAAGTCCATTTACGTTCCATGACAATACCTTTACTTCCCCCTCCGCAACCCCCTAGTCTTTAACTGCTTTCCCATCTATATACAAAGTGTCATACGCGATCCAAGCTCTCTTGTCTTCTTTCCTCGCAGCTTTCATCCTAGGAACGAGCTTTTTTCTCTTTTCAACCACCTCTCTCGGAAACTGATCACTGACGTAGTAAGCACTGCCTTCCAAAGTCTTCCATTGTTTTCTCACAAATTCTTTGTCCTTGTACTCAAGGAATTTAGCCACAATTGTTCTGCACTTACCATCTTGTTTGGACCCCATTCTGTGCACCCTTTCTAGCACCATTTTATCAACCGCATCTTTCGCTACCCTCATCTTGTTACAGATAAACTCCCTAACAGTCGCCTCAGCATCCTCGTGTACCCCAGCCGGAACCTCTGGTATATTTGAAAATAACAAATTACTCCTCATTGATTGAGATTGTAAGTAAGTAACTTCCTGCCTTAAAATATCTCTTTCCTTTTCTAATGTAACCACATTATCACTCAACATACCCAGTGCAAAGTCAGAACTCTCTACTTGTCTTCTACCACTGATACTCTATCTGACACTTTCCGATTATTGTCTTCTAATGTAACCCATAGCTTCTTAATTTCATTGTCAAATCTATCAACTTTTTGCTTTACTACCTCTAAAGCATCCAGTCTCTTGTCCATGTTGCATAATTTACCTTCAATATTTTTCAAACAAGACATAACATCTGACAATGAGGGCGTCTTATCACTCTCTGTCGCCATATTGGATTCACTGACTCTATCAGGCGAAGTCGGTATAAAAACACTATCGTTATTAATAGTCAAATTCTCAGATTCACTCTCGTCATATAATATACTGTTGGTCTGACATAATATAGATAACAGGTTAGACATTGGTCAGATGATGGGGGTCAAGATAATTATATTTACACTTGAATTTGTCAGTTGAAACTGCAAAAAGAATAGGTGTGAGATGGGAAATTGACACATCCTCAACAATGATTTTTTTTAGAGATTCATGATTTTTTTGTTTGTTTATAAAAGACAAGATTTTAGCTTGACTTTTTGAAAAACATTTTTGTTAAGATTTTGTGTGCAAGATTGTTTCTCCAAAACTGCTGAAGGAAATTGAATGAAACTAAATAACACATGTTTTCTGTGATATCTTGTTTAGAAACAAGAAAAAAGAAAAGTAAAAACCTATTTTTAATTTTTTTAGGAAAACGTAAATATCTTACAAGCTGTCAATTTTATTATGTCCATAATAATGAGGAAAGTATTGAATTACCATTTTAGTTCTTTAAAAAAGAAGATAAATGCATATTTTATTGAAAGAGATCTCAAGGTTCTAATAAAATCTTGTGTAAAATTGTAGATTCATCACTTTATTATGCATTGGCTTTGTACATGGGCGATTGTCTCTATAAAATCATTGTATTAAAAAGTTGTAACCTTGAAAAGTTCATTTGTCACTGTACTGACCTATGGTCAGTGTTGTATGGTGTTACACCAAATAGATACTAGTAACAGGTTAGACATTGGTCAGATGATGGGGGTCAAGATAATTATAATTACACTTGCATTTGTCAGTTGAAACTGCAAAAAGAATAGGTGTGAGATGGGAAATTGACACATCCTCAACAATGATTTTTTTTTAGAGATTTAGGAGTTTTTTGTTTGTTTATAAAAGACAAGATTTTAGCTTGACATTTTGAAGAACATTTTTGTTAAGATTTTGTGTGCAAGATTGTTTCTCCAAAACTGCTGAAGGAAATGGATTGAAACTCAATAACACATGTTTCTGTGATATCTAAAATGATTGAGACAGGTTCCATAACTCTGAGTTACATTTTAACATTTTACCTTTTTTTACTGTCAGACACCAACAATGCTCAAGTATGATGTGTTACTGACACATGTTGTTCTTTTATTTACAAATGCGATTTTTAAATTGACTATTAAAAGAATAGGGATGGCTATTTGTCACCTTAGTGCAATAACTGGTTAACTCCTATTTAACTTAAAAGGACTTAACCTGTTACTGCACTAAGGTGACACATTGTTATTACCAAGATGTCAGTGTCAGCGTCACACTTTAATATAGTTCTTGCATGCAAGCTGATATCTCCAAAACTACTGAAGAGATCTCGAATGGGTTGAAACTTAAAACACTTATTTGAGAGCACTATAGAAGGTCATGTCTAAGGCTTACAACTCTAATGTGGACTTTGACAGAATTTTGGCTCTTTTCGAATTTAGAAAAAATCCACATTATCCAGGCTTTTACTATGAAGCTCTGAGGATAGTCAAACACGCTGTCCTATCTACATCTGTAATTATGATATTTATAATATATGATAAAATAAATGATATAATAACTTATGTAAATGTTTTTACATACACAACAGTGATCATGAAATTTATATTGAAAATGTGATGTAAATCGATATGTCGAAGTTATTATCACTGATCTATACCAAGACACTTTTCAAATTTGTGATTTTACATGATCAGTTACTGGCAATTTTATATTTAGTAGTTTAGAAGTGTTTTAACACTTGACTATATTATGGGGGAGTGAGGATATAACTTAAACAAGACAGGGGTTTGTATGAATTGTGTGAAGTGGTTTATTTTTGGTTTTTTAATAAGCTTAAAATAAAATTTATGAATCTAACTCAAAGTACTTATTTTACTTTTTGTCCCATTTCGTGATTAAGTATGAATGCATTGTTATCATGCATTTGTCATACTTCACTCGTTTTATGCTATGCGACACAGGTTAACAGGGGCGGCAAAATCAAGAGTACGTATTGCCAAGGTTTTCCCACAGCCAAGTGTAATTTTCAAATATTCACTTTTTAAATATGGTACAGAGAAGTTAAGACATTCTTCAGATGAACATGGACAAGAAAGTCAAAATCAGATTTTGCCTACTCTGCAAGTAATAACTGTCAAACAACTGCATGCCGAACTACCTGGGAATTAACACATCCGTCTGTGAAATTACAGTTTGGGCAAATAAATAAGCTGAATTAACTGAATACAAATTTGCAAATTATACTGTTCAAATTTGGGTAATAAACCAACTTGTGATTTTTTTTTTGATATTCAATGAATAATTCCAAATTCAAATCTAAACAAATCCATGCATTATTGAAATTTACAATTTTATGAGTTGTGTACTGTTTAATACACCTTTTGCCTGTCAGCAGCTACTGAACCTCTACAGACCAAGATCTGTGCAAATCTGAATTGTTTGCTTATTCAGTCATTATTTATTTTGAAATTTATTATGTTTTTTTTCACATTGAAAGATGGACAAGTCCATTTAAGATATTTTGCATGGTGAGGATTAAGATATAGAAAAACAGAATCCCTAAAGAACGCTCAAAATGAAAAAAAAAATGAAAATGTTGCATGCTTGATTTGATTGAGCCTGTACATGGACGGTACTAGAAAGTACAAGGTACCATTCACGCTTTTATTGCATCTTTATTTTGATTTTAAACTACTTGGCAAACATTCAGATTGATGTTATTGTTACAACTTACAAACTTGTTTTGAATGAACAGCCATGCATTGATAAAGTGCATATGTTTTCAGGGCACAATCAATCTTCCGCACAAATTGATTCATGCCATTCCATGATATAAGAGATTTAATGAGCTTTTATATAACACAGATTCCTTCTCCAAGGCTAGATTTGTTTTATTGAAATAATTGCCTAGATTGATATAATTGTTCTTTTTAATGCAATGCACACTGCTCCTGAAGTTAGGAACTGAAATGGCTAATTTGATTGCCAAGTGATAGTGACATAAATCAAATTATTAATGTAACTTGGAGTGTGCAATGTAATTAATGAAGTTTTGGACCACCAGTCAGTTAGGTTACTAGTACATGTACTTAAAGTAAAGCAAAATGATTCATTATTGTGTTCACAAGTAACTTTAGTTGATACATATTTTTGATAAATGATTGAGTTTGAAGTTTTAATAAATCAGGCCAGTTAACTTTATGAAAGTGCCTGCATGCTTTTGGTTGAAATAAAATATTAAGAGGCAATTAGTGCTGTTACATTGTCTTCAAAAATTGGAAGAGGACATTTGTTAGTAGGGGAGTGTTTTCCTCCTGGTAACATTGTCTGCTTTTTCAGAGAGAGATTGTGGTTTGAATTTTACTTTGGCCATTATGATGTTCTTTTTGCGACAAAGTCAGTGATAAGTCTAGGACGCTGATGAGATGACTTAAAGGATTCTGTTAAATTTTCAAGTTTGGTTCATTATTAATAAAATAAGTTGAAAACAATAGAGTGATTAAAAGATCCAGCCTTTTTAACTTTTCAATCCCTTGTGATTAGACTGTCTCTAGTATAGAGCCAGACCATCCTGCAAAGTCAAACCAGACTCTGTACTGTTCAACACAGTCTGTGTAAATGTAAATGTTTAATCTGGTCCTTAATACAATTAATGACCCCTTTGTGCTGCCTAAAAGGTTTGTGTAAATGGGTTCAAATTAGTAGAATCTTAATCTACATGTATGTATCTCTTAGCTCTAGCATGTGAGGTGGATTGACCCCTAGTGTTGCTTTAAGTTTTTAACACCCGATGTTAGACACAATCAGCTCTCCTGTTTTGGCGCTTTATGACCAAGATTGTGTTTTTGCACAGTAACAATGCAATTCATGAACAGGTCTGGAAATGGACGCTGAAGTAATCTTTAATCAAGGTTCATTATGCCTTAGATATGCCATCATTTTTGTTTCTCATTTTTGTTGCTTTATTAGCAATAAGTATAATTATAGTGAATAAGTATTTTGTATGGAAGTCAAAATAATACTTTGTTAACATTTTGCTTCCTTTACGGCACTGTGCTTCACATTTAACACTAATTTTAGCTCACCTGAGCTAGCTCAGGATGAGGTTTTAGGATCATTGAATGTCGTCTTACGTCGTCTGCCGTCCGTCGTATGTTGTCCGCCCACATTTGTTCGTTAACATTCTAGTGGTTACTGTTTTGATTCAAATATCCTGGAAGTTGGTCAGAAAGTTTGTTTTGATGATTTTTAGGTGAATTTCGAATATGGGTTTCCTGGGGTCAAAAACTAAGTCTCACAGCAAAAAAAAAGTAAACCCTTGTTAACACTTCAGTGGTCACATTATGTTTTTACTCAATTGTCACCAAACTTGGTCAGGATGCTTGTCTTAGTAATTGTGTGGATGAGTTCGAAGGGACAGGTGAGCGATCTAGGGTCATCTAAGGCCCTCTTGTTTCAGTTGTTAAAATATTTTACATCTCCAGTAATAATACATTATTAAACATGTGTATGACATTTCTAAAGAGTTTAAATAATTTAGATTCCAAAGGCATAATATGCCTTTAAACTGACCAGGTTAAGGGCTTACATTAGTTACGGTTCCTATTTAATTTCAGGCTTGTGCCCACCGGTACAAGGAGCTGAAGCAGACACGGAACAGTGTGAAAATCTATGGTATTGGATCATGTTACCTAATGACCCAGGATTTACAGTTTAATCTAAATTTAGCCCAGGGGAGGCTTCTAAAACCATGTCAGCTTTTTCCTAAAGGTCAAGAACATGAAGAATATGCCTTCTGTCAGTCTGGAATTAGTGCCTTTATCACCGAGGTAAATTTTTGTTATGATATTTATTGCATACAGGAGGTAATATCTAAACATTTTTACTTAAAGGGAAAGACAACGTTAGAATAAAAACTTGATTTCAGAAAAAGAATACTAAAAATAATAAATCTGCAAATTGTCTGCCGCCAAATAATAATATTAAACGAATGATAACAGAATTTAATTCACTCAATCACCGATTTCTACAAATCAGTAGGCGCGGCCATGTTTGTGTATTGGCCGTATAAAAACAGGTACGCGTGATGTCATTTCCCCACATCTTTAGATTTATGATAAATCTTATTGAATCGTAGCGAAATATTAATATAATAAAGTATTTACCAGACAATTTAATTTTCACAGGAGGGTAGAGGAGATTTTTTTATGGTTCAAAATACGTAACAATATTAAAAAAAATAATAAAAAAATAAAGAAACAAATAAAAAATCAACGTTTACCGGTCGCACCACTTCAGGCCAGTGATGCAGTGCTATGTTCATTAAAGTCTCATCTTAATGTAATTAAACAATATTTCACAGATTTAATAACTACACATATTATTATTTAACAAAGTTTCACAATCAAATAATGCAATTAAATAAACAAACACACCAACGAATAAGTGGCTGTTAATTATTGAACGGCGATAATTATCATTATTATAAAAATCCTACTAAAATGTGTTCTTAATAGTACATGTAATTAAATTTTTGCAGTTTGATTCTGACTTTCAAATTAAAAGGTGTGAACATATGTTATAATTGATGTACACATTTCAAAAATATAAGGAACTATTTTGAAAAATAAATTGTTAATATGTCTGTCAACGTATGATGCTGCGTGGTATTTAATTACTTTGTAATCGTAGCCTGGTATTAACTGCAGGCAAAACATTTTTATTGGCTGCTCAAAAATTTAATTTGCATAATTTATTCACACAATTGCTGGTTCTTACTACTTATGTCTTATACTGTGTATTATCTATTTTAATTGTTCCTAATTTGCACCAAATGTTCCTGTCACACTGTGTACTGACGATTGTTATTGCTCCTTGTGTGCCTCTGTGCCGACAGACCTTTTGATCATGCACAATGTTGCCCTGATTGGTTAATCACCCTTTTCAAATATTCTAATGACGAAATAGACATTTATTTTTTTACGCTTCATCAGTGAACTGAATGACCTTAGGGGAATAAAGTTCAGCATTTGCCAAGTTATACTGTAAATCACAGCATTTCATAAAATAGCTACACATTTTTTTCAGTTACCATTAATCATTTTAAATATTAAATAGAATTATGATTTTTTGTTTCATTGGATTAAATTTACGGTAGTAAAAATGCGTATCTGTGTGGGAAAGGGATTGGGTAAGTTGATAACGTGGAAAAAGCTATAAACCCGAGAATATGCGTAATTACAGGGGAATGGGCAACCTGTTGCTGTTGGTACCAGTTTTGACTGGGTGCCTAAATAACCTAACGGATGGTTTTGTTTTCTTACGATATTAGTCTGGCTGCCGATTTTCCTGCGCCATTCTCATTTTAGCGTCAATGACGGAAAATCGCGTCCTCAGCAGATCTCTGCATATTGGATATTTGGATATTTTACGCTGAAAAAAGATACATGACCGGCGATGTACCCTATTCGGACAGCTTGTCTAGCGAAAATTAAGAACAAAATAAAAGGATATATCGTCAATTTGAAGAAGTTCAATTAAATTAAATTGTTGGTTTATCTTTGAAAATTAAGCAGTCATTGCTTTAATCATGTGGTGGGATCATCAGCAAGCTTGAAAATCGGAAAATGATAATTAATGTCGCGGCGTCTTCAATTAATTAATTAAATCAATTCATTTCCACAATTATGATGTTTTCATAAATGATATATAATGTACGCAATAAGATTAATAAGTTCTTCATCAAGATATATTTCAGTTGTACCAGCGTGTACACCTATACCAGAAGTGGGTGTAACACGTCACAATCTCGGTCTCGTCTGTCTCGCGAGAATGACAGAACGCCAAAATGGCGGCGCCCATGAACTTATTTCTCAAGTAAAAAAAGTGTCTTAAAACACGAATTTCTCACTTATAGGGTTGATGTCAACAGAAAAACTGTCATGGTACCTCTTTTTAAATGATGAATATTTATATTAGACAGACATCAATCCATCCATTCCTATTCCTTTAAATTTTTTTCTTAAATTCTTGAATCTGAGTCACTTAATCTTAAAATCGGTTTTTAATGATTGTATTAAAAATTCTTAATTCTGAGTTATTTTTTTTAATTGTAAAAAATCGATCTTTTTTATTTTTGTTGAAAATTGAAGCAAGATAAACAGATTCAGTTTAACAGTTGATCATGTAGCTTTTATAATCTAAGTAATGGCAGTTGTTTATATAAAAGAGATGTTTTAATAACATTCTCATGATTTCAATTAATCAAAAAAAAATTGCATAATGTATTGGCTTAATGCAAACTAGTTGTAACCCGAATGACAGAAAGAATGAGTTACAAGTCATTGCAGGCCGAAACCTTGATATGAAATTATAAAAATATGAGTAAGATATAAATAAATGTTGACTGTATGAATTTGTAGGAAGAAAGACTAATAGTGGGATCTCCTGGTGCGATAAACTGGCGTGGAATGTTGACGGAAGTTGATGTTTCTCCGCAGTTTGGTATCAAGAAAGTGTACCATTCTCCAACATTAGACAGTGACGTCATTAAACCTCCTGTGCCTCTTTTTTCATATCTTGGTATGTATTATGTTGGTCCTGGTACTGGTCCCTGGCTTGCAATGATATTTGCCCCACATATCTTGGTATGTATTTTGTTGAGCCTGGAACTGGCCCCCTGGCTTGTAATGATCTTTGCCCCACATATCTTGGTATGTATTATGTTGAGCCTGGTACTGGCCCCTTGACTTACAATGATCTTTGCCCCCCACGCAACTGTTTGAATTGCACCGCAGAGACTTCAGAATCTTTTATGTGAGGAAGCTCAGACAGTCAAGTTAGCATATCGAGGGTTGGTCGCAAAACTGTTGTAAGTCCTTCTTTATTTCGCATATAAGTTACTGCAGTTTTGCAGCCAACCCTCGATATAGGTCAGTGATTCTATTCGGATGCCCTCATGTGCCAGGAATGATACAGAAAAGGGTTCTCTAAGGTATCTTTTCACATGTAAAACTGGAAACTTGCTGTAGCATGTCTATTGTAATGTCAGCAACATTTGAAACTAAACAAAACATTATTTTGTAGTCTTAATAGGTTTTTAATAAATATACCAGAACGTTGTTCATTTCTTTATTCTCACTTATGGACCATGTATAGGCCCTGATGTTTTATTTTCCTTACTTGAAGCTGATCATCAAGTTCTCAAACAATGTTGATAACATAAAGTGTTTATATTTTTTGTATTTTAAAGTGAATCAGTCCATACTGGAAGGTATGTAATACTATAAATAAGTATACCATAATATATAGCATTATACAAAGTACAACTATCGGTAACCGTGGAAGAATTATATATAGTAATATGATGGATGCTGTTGGTAATCTGGGGATACATGATCAAATATTACATATAATAATATCTATTTATAGTACACAATAAATTGTTCTGGAACAAAATTTTATTACTCACCATATAAGTGTTCATGCTTAAAATCACTTAAAACTCTACCATAATAATTTTTTCTCAAGAAATATTTTATAAGAATATCCAAGAATATACATTTATATTGCTCTTAGCAATATTTCAGATACTAATGGAAAATGTTCCAATTGTAGACCAATCCACTTTAAAGCAGCATGCCTCAAATTTTGAAAATGTGTTTAAAGTTACATGTTGTGAAATGAAAAAAGAAAGTAATTTACACATTGCAAACGCATGTAAAATTCATGTAAATAACCAAAAAAGGGATCAAAACGTACAAAAATAGCCCGTTTACTACTTTTGTCACACAGTAGAAATATAGTGATGAATACTGCACAATCAGTCATTAATCGCACATAACATGTAAATTATTACTTGCATCTTTTTACTTTTTTTTTAAATCTTAGTACTTTTTTTCTTAAGTTTGGAGGCATGCAGCTTTAAAATAATCATTTTTAGACTTTCAGTTTTATGTTGAAATTTGTCTGGTTTGATATCCTTTAGATTATAAGTGTTGATGAATATTTAAGTGTGAGGACATTTTGTGGTTAAACCATTTTCGAGAGAACTTGATTTCAAGGAAAAATTATGTTCTAATCACCCAATTTGTTTAGAACAGCCATTTCAGATAATGTTACATGTAATTTGTATAGTAATTTCTCCAGTAAAGGATCGGAAATGCTTTGACGTTTGAGTTTATGACATGAGTATTGTTAATGATCGCAAGAACTTTGTAATCCAATCAATTATCAGCAGAATCTTCCTACTGTTTTTCCTGTTGAAGGATTTGTTGTTTATAATAAACCTTGAACATGCTCATGAGTATTTAGACCGTTTCTTCCAAATAAGGACTATACACATAAAAATGCCCTACCACTAAAGGCAAGCATTATGCATCGATTTTCCCATTTCAACAATAATAGTGCGAACGTTGTTACTTAAGGGTACTTTGTACTTTTAGCAACATAAAAGCAACAGAATGAACAAGATTAAGTTATCTAGCTTACGGAACATCAGTGGTTCTACACAGGTGCCTGCTTGTGCCTGAAAAAATGCACTGAGGGGTACCTGAGGTCTTCCTCCACCAGTAAAACTTCAAAATCGCCATTATGACCATTACATTGTTGGTATGACAAAAACCCAACCAATAAAAAAATAATAATGAATTCATAAGTTATTGCACAAATGAGCAATGTTTGGATGACCATTATTCAACTATAGCCATTTTTTCATATCCCAAGAAAAAAGGTGTTGTGTTGATTTGGTAGTATAATATCTTAGTTTTCTGTTTTTTGCGGACTTTCTTTCTAACCTGATAAAATGGTAAAAAGCCCTGTAAATATGTTATTGGCTATCCATTTACAGTTGTTTATGAGTGGTACCTACATATTTAGCTATGTACAGTGAAAAGTGAACCAGTCTCCTTTAGTCCTTATCCTGCTTTGTTTCTGTTGGCTTATGAACTTAAAATTATATCCCCCCAAAAAGATAATGGACAGTCTCAAAAAATTGAATCTGGAGCAGGACAAGTCAATATAAGAAATTCAGTAGATGAAAGAAATATCTGTATTTTGCCCTCCTATTCTTGAAAATAATTTATCTTATATATTTTTTAACCAATTTTACACTTACCCCCAATTATGTGTACCAGGAAATCAATGTTTGTGGCTTTTATTATTCCATACTGATAATTTTACTGATATTTTTTCAGTATTGGTAGATCAACTTGAGTGCTAGTAATGTAAACAAATGGTATCCATAACTTTTATGAACATAACAAGATTTTTTTCCTCCTGGAATAAAATCAAAATGAAACAAAATGCATATCCCTACTGCTAAATCTAGTCCAGATTTTGAACTGTGGCTTATTCTGACAAGCACAATGAACCAATTGAAATGTGTCATTATCAATATTATTATGGTGTGAAAAAAATTATCTGTACTTAAATCTAATCAAGATCTAAACATAGTTTTCTCCCAAAAAGAAGTTTTAGAATTCGTTGATAAAAACGGGTCATAATCAATATTCATGTACCTTTTATATACAATTTATCACCTTTACCGCGATGCAGGAGTTGATAAAAAACGATATTACACTAGAAGATATTATACAAGCGAAATAACACTTTGACGTGACGTCATTTGCGGTATAATCATAGCGCGCTAATGTTAGTACTAAAAGCGCGTCATTGAAAAATGACTTGTTTAATAAATTTAGTATTAAACCTACACCCATTCAATACACCCATTCAATACCCTCTATATTATGAATGGCTACAATTAAAATAAAGGGAAACTGGTATCTTGGTCATAATGCATTACCGACCCCTGCCGTTTGCAAAAACCTTCAATTATCATATAACCCGTGGCGCAGGAGTGAAATAAAGCCATTTAATTAAAACGATATTGCACTATAAAATAAAGAGTACTTCGGCAATGGCTACGGAAAATAAACAACAGAGACTTGCCGTAGAGAAATTTAAATTTGCTTTAACAAGAAAAGTAGACACTTAAGAGAAAAATCCTGAAAAATCTCGAGGGTGACTTTTTTTAGCTTACAAAAAGTGTCATTTTTTATTCAACGTAGGTTTGTCATACCAGGCAAAAGTTCATTTTCATTTTCAATTGGACAGACTATAAACGATATTACACTAGTTTATATTATGCTTTTCAATGGATAACTGATTTATCCGTGAAAATTATATTTGATAATTTCACAGTGAAAATTATCAAAATATGACTTTACACTTTGCAATGATGAAACTATTTTTTTAAGATTTTCCCATGTGGTATCTAAATTTTATTTTTGCTGACAATTTTGACTATGTCAGGCTGTTTAAAGAAAGGCAAAGCTGAAATTGATAGATAATTTAATTGTCAAAAGTAATAAAAAGAAGAAAACTTACTTCTATTCATCCAAATTACCAATCACCAAATATCGTCTCTTATTTTTTTGTTTCATTTTTACAGTCTGAAAAATACATTCTTTCCACATGATTAACTGTTCTTGATGACATTTGGGTAATTTTAAGGATCCTACGAGCAATAACTGCGTATGCTTTATGAAAACTTGAAAGTCAATGACAACCATCAGCCCGAAGAATAAGTAAACAATCCAGTGTTCGTGAGACAGCCTTTCAACAAATCCAAGTTTCCAATTTCCTAGCCGTTTTTGGAATGTTTACATCTGCCAACACTTGTACATTGTCTTTGTTACAATCCTAAAATAAGTTTTCTTTCTTTTAAAAAGGTGTATGAGTAACAAATCTAAATGATATCCCTCTGAATCAAACACAATTATTTTCCTCCCGTGAAATTCACAATTTTTAAAAATGGCGGCCGCTTACATTTATCAGAGCCAGGTCTAATATAAATAAGTAAGTAACATAAATATGGATGGATGGTTGGACTTTTTCTCCTATTAGAATTTATTGTTTTTAGTATCAAAACAAGTAATCATTCATATTTTTTTACTAAAATTGATAATATCACAGCCATTTAACGTTGATTATCGAACTTATTTTCAGCCCAAGACTTGTTGAATTTATGAGAAATTCGACTAATACATGTAAATAATAGAGGCTACCAGGGGGGAAACAGATTTTTAATATTAAAGTTAATATCAACGAAATTTCGTTTTAACTTGTTTTTAAGTATAAATTAAAAAGAAAATTTGTTTGTTCGTTGTGTAAGATGTAATTTTACTTCATCTAGTGAGCATTAAAAAAACAGTAATCTCACTCATGGCTACGCCACTCGTGAGAATACTGTTTTTAAAGCTCACTCGATGAAATAAAATGTCATCTAACACACAAACAAACAAATATCCTCCATGTAATTACACTTTGACGTGACGTCTTTTGCGCTATAAACATAGCGTTAAAGCGCGCTTATGTTAGCGTTACACGATATAGGCCCGTCAAATAAAATGACTCTTGTTAACAGTTTACAGTTCTTATTTAATGAATGTGATAAATAGAATATCATATTCGTGTAAATTCAATACTTAAGGCTCGCATAATATAATTTTATTCAACTCGTTCAATAAATTTAGTATTAAACCTACGCTCATTAAATATCTTCTCTATATATAATAATT